GTAAATTAAGAAAAAAAACAGCATACAAAGGAAAAAAAAGTTGGGGAACAAAGAAGATCAACCTAAGTAAGCCTGACTTGAATCCAAAAAAACGATTGAAACAAGAGAGGCATGAAAAAGAGGAAAAAAGAGACTGAACACTTTTAGCAGGTTTGACGTCATATTTTTTAGCCCAAGCAAAAGAGAGTCTTGGATCCGAGAGGAGGGGTTCAAGAATGACAAACAGGAGGTCGACAACTTTGAAAGCATAAGGAGAAGAGAGCAGTGAAAGAGAGACAAGGTATGGTACCTATATAATTAGTTTTTGAGGTCCCCAAACTGGTTTCCTTTCCCTCATTGCGGTCCTTCTGAAGCAACTTAGCAATGAAGATTTCCTTATCAAGGTTCCCCATTTATTTTCACCAGTTTGGCAATGGCGGTCTCCCTGGGATATCCTTCGAGTTGCTTAGCTTTCATCGACTTGGCAATGCCCTCACAGCCTAGCAACTCTTGTTGACGGGCATCCTTGCGTTGGGCTTGATTCATCTCTGCGTAGCGCTGAAACGGCACAAGCTTTGTCCCCCATGGGCCATCCTCCTCGCCTTCACGTCCGCTGTTACTCAAAAGTATTCCTGAGAACCTTTTGCTGAGTGCAGAAAGGGATGTGTGAGGTTGCCTCTGCCTTTCCTGGTTCACTAGACACTAAAACAAGCCCACCAATCTCAGATTGGCAGGTTTATATAGTGATAGTGGAGTGTTATCAAAAGATAATTGTTGTATGAGCCATGGATGGTATGTTGAGTAATGTCAGCTCTGGTCTCTTATGTGACCTAGAGTTGATGGGATAAAGGGTCACACTATAGCCAAAGAGTGGCCAGTGGAAATAAGTCCAACTCAACACTGGTACAGTGGAGGGACTGGCTCCTTATAAGAATAAGGGACAGCTGTGGAATGAGCCTCACAGTGCCTGAGCTTAAGATAATAAGAAGAATAGAGTTGTACTAGTCTTATAAGTTAATAAGGTAACTTATAAAGACTAGTAATGAGATAAAGGGAAAGGGTACAAAAAGTTTTATGTAGATAATATATTACTAAAAACCCCAATCACTAAGTATATGTTTTAGTAAGGTTGTTGGGTTGGTATGGTAATATTGTCTGGGGGATGAATCTCAGGGGGAGAGCCATCCTCTTAAATATTACAGAGCAGGGGTCAATCTGCTGATGGGACCGGTGCAGTCCCCTTATTGTTACACTTTTCCTTGGGGGAAAGTGTCAGGATATTCAGAGCATGATAAATGTACATGTGCTGAATATCCTTTATTTCAGAAAATACCATAAGAGAGATAAACATAATAATCATATACACAAGAGAGGTAAATAGGATAATCATCTCTTGGATGGAAGCAGGACAGGCAGGTAGATAGAAATGCAGTGAACAGATATATGGGGGAAGTTATATGGCAGCAGTCAGGTTTGTGTATATGGGATCAGTTGTTTTATTTTTATTTTTATGCATGCAAGCAGTCAGGTTTGTATGTATGGAAGCAGTCACCCCTACAATGTCTCCTAATAATTATCCTCGTCTTCATATTTGTCTTCATCCTAGTCATCCTTGCATTGACTCCCTTTTCTTCAGGCAACATTAGCTTGACAACTCCCAGTCAAAAAAAAAAAAATAAAGAAAAAAATAAAGAAAATAAAGATGATGATTGGGAGCAACAACTCCCAAATATTGGGAGGAAAACCCCCAAAAATAAATAAATTAAGGGCGTTAATAAAAAAACGCGGTAAATCCGTGTTTACACGCGGTTTCTGCTGCGCGCAGCACACGCGGATTCCGCGTTTGCACACGGTTTTTTATTTAATTTTTTACCGCTTATTTTTCGAGTTTTTTTGAATTTTTAAAATTGTTTCCTATGTTTTAAAGCGTGTTGAATTTAATGGTGAAACCCATTTTTCATAAAAATGACTTTTGATTATTAATTTTTTTCCACTCATTTTTTCAATTAATTGTTTACATACAGGTTTCTACCTCATTTTTTATTCTTTTTTGAAATTTTAAATTTATTTCCTAGGTTTCAATGTGTTTAGAATTTAATGGTTTAATCCAAATTTTTCAAAACTCAACGGTTCATTTTTAATACTGAAATTAGACACATTTTTTCACTTAAATTTCTACAGGTTAATTTTCATTCTTTTTTGACATTTTAAATTTTTTGCCTACACTTTAAGACATGGTTAAAATGATGGTAAAACTCATTTTGGATCAAAATGAAAACTATATCTTGAATACTGCATTTGACATGTTTTTTTATTTAATTCTCCACTTTTTCACTTGATTGTTTGCATGAATTTTTTTACCTTATTTTTTATGCTTTTTTGGAATTTTAAATTCTTTTCCTACACTTGAATATGTTCAGAATTTAATGGTAGCATTAAATTTCCATAAAACTCAACGGTTCATACTGAATACTGTATGAGTCATATTTTTCAATTGATTTTTAACAGCATAATTTTCATTATTTTTGACATTTTGAATTCTTTTCCTACACTTTCAACATGCATAAATATACTACCATGACTTTGCATCCAAATGAAAACTAT